GCTGCTGCTCGTGAATCTCAGTCCAATAAAACCCGTCTCCTTCTCGTCCAAATCACGGCGTAATGAGATATTTATGACAGTTTGATGACAGTGTTTGCCGCCGCAGCCGCCGTGGCAGAAACACCGATATCATCTTTCATTTAACACAATGCCAGTCTGCTCTCTCCGCGCTGTCATGCAAGTCGGTAATCCACCGTCAGAAACCGCCTTCGGAGCCCACCGTCAGAGATCGCACTCCGGGGCCGATCGCCAATCGATCTGTCGTCATTAAAGGGCCCTAATCTGTCTTCATTAAAGGGCCCTAATCTGTCATCATTAAAGGGCCCTAATCTGTCATCATTAAAGGGCCCTAATCTGTCATCATTAAAGGGCCCTAATCTGTCATCATTAAAGGGCCCTAATCTGTCATCATTAAAGGGCCCTAATCTGTCATCATTAAAGGGTCCTAATCTGTCATCATTAAAGGGCCCTAATCTGTCATCATTAAAGGGCCCTAATCTGTCATCATTAAAGGGCCCTAATCTGTCATCATTAAAGGGTCCTAATCTGTCATCATTAAAGGGCCCTAATCTGTCATAATTAAAGGGCCCTAATCTGTCATCATTAAAGGGCCCTAATCTGTCATCATTAAAGGGCCCTAATTTGTCATCATTAAAGGGACCTAATCTGTCATCATTAAAGGGCCCTAATCTGTCATCATTAAAGGGCCCTAATCTGTCATCATTAAAGGGCCCTAATCCGTCATCATTAAAGGGACCTAATCTGTCATCATTAAAGGTCCCGAATCTGTCTTCATTAAAGGGCCCTAATCTGTCATCATTAAAGGGCCCTAATCCGTCATCATTAAAGGGCCCTAATCTGTCATCATTAAAGGTCCCGAATCTGTCTTCATTAAAGGGCCCTAATCTGTCATCATTAAAGGGCCCTAATCTGTCATCATTAAAGGGCCCTAATCTGTCATCATTAAAGGGCCCTAATCTGTCATCATTAAAGGGCCCTAATCTGTCATCATTAAAGGGCCCTAATCTGTCATCATTAAAGGGCCCTAATCTGTCATCATTAAAGGGTCCTAATCTGTCATCATTAAAGGGCCCTAATCTGTCATCATTAAAGGGCCCTAATCTGTCATCATTAAAGGGCCCTAATCTGTCATCATTAAAGGGTCCTAATCTGTCATCATTAAAGGGCCCTAATCTGTCATCATTAAAGGGCCCTAATCTGTCATCATTAAAGGGCCCTAATCTGTCATCATTAAAGGGCCCTAATCTGTCATCATTAAAGGGCCCTAATCTGTCATCATTAAAGGGCCCTAATCTGTCATCATTAAAGGGCCCTAATCTGTCATCATTAAAGGGCCCTAATCTGTCATCATTAAAGGGCCCTAATCTGTCATCATTAAAGGGTCCTAATCTGTCATCATTAAAGGGCCCTAATCTGTCATCATTAAAGGGCCCTAATCTGTCATCATTAAAGGGCCCTAATCTGTCATCATTAAAGGGTCCTAATCTGTCATCATTAAAGGGCCCTAATCTGTCATAATTAAAGGGCCCTAATCTGTCATCATTAAAGGGCCCTAATCTGTCATCATTAAAGGGCCCTAATTTGTCATCATTAAAGGGACCTAATCTGTCATCATTAAAGGGCCCTAATCTGTCATCATTAAAGGGCCCTAATCTGTCATCATTAAAGGGCCCTAATCCGTCATCATTAAAGGGACCTAATCTGTCATCATTAAAGGTCCCGAATCTGTCTTCATTAAAGGGCCCTAATCTGTCATCATTAAAGGGCCCTAATCCGTCATCATTAAAGGGCCCTAATCTGTCATCATTAAAGGTCCCGAATCTGTCTTCATTAAAGGGCCCTAATCTGTCATCATTAAAGGGCCCTAATCTGTCATCATTAAAGGGCCCTAATCTGTCATCATTAAAGGGCCCTAATCTGTCATCATTAAAGGGCCCTAATCTGTCATCATTAAAGGGCCCTAATCTGTCATCATTAAAGGGCCCTAATCTGTCATCATTAAAGGGTCCTAATCTGTCATCATTAAAGGGCCCTAATCTGTCATCATTAAAGGGCCCTAATCTGTCATCATTAAAGGGCCCTAATCTGTCATCATTAAAGGGTCCTAATCTGTCATCATTAAAGGGCCCTAATCTGTCATAATTAAAGGGCCCTAATCTGTCATCATTAAAGGGCCCTAATCCGTCATCATTAAAGGGCCCTAATTTGTCATCATTAAAGGGACCTAATCTGTCATCATTAAAGGGCCCTAATCTGTCATCATTAAAGGGCCCTAATCTGTCATCATTAAAGGGCCCTAATCCGTCATCATTAAAGGGACCTAATCTGTCATCATTAAAGGTCCCGAATCTGTCTTCATTAAAGGGCCCTAATCTGTCATCATTAAAGGGCCCTAATCTGTCATCATTAAAGGGCCCTAATCTGTCATCATTAAAGGGCCCTAATCTGTCATAATAACAAACTGCTCTTTTCCAATACGTCTTTAACTGATAACAGTAGTTCAGAGATATTGAAATTTCTAAATTACTTTTCCAGTCTCTAAATGTTGTTATTGTTTTCATTTTGATGTCCCGCCCTCCACCGTTTCACCAATCAGAAAGTCTGTGATCCGGGCGCCAGAACTCACCGCGTGGAGCTAATCTCACTGGTAAAGTACCATGTGGCGCAGAACTAAAAAAGGTCTCGTTATGATTCTCAAATCATTAACGACAAAACAAGGAATAAAACCAGGACTTCTATCTTTGTGAAAAAGGTGTTGGTTATAGATTTGTTGTTGACTAAACTCTTGTCTATTCAGCTGTTATGGTCCCAGCTGGATTCGTCTGCATATCTGGCAACCTGAGTCAGGGAGAGTGGGAGAGGCTGCAGTACCACTTTTGACCACATTTTTACAGACTGCTGCTTTAAATTCAATATCTGCAGAGTTAGTGAACACATGTGGCTCCATTTTGTGTTTGTACCTTCCCCAAACACAAGTTAAATCTTGAACTGACCTGTTTTTCACACGGTGTACAGTAAAAAACAGAATGATCAGTTTGACATCTCTCCTTCTCTGCTGTTTAATTAAATCGTCAGCTCTGATGCGGCAGAAACGGCAGAGACAGGACCGGGATGAAGCGGTGGATTTGCAGCTGTTAAACTCTTCTGCCCAAAGCCAAATGGAGTCAAAGAATGTGGAGAAAACTGTGCTAAAAATGAAGCATAAATAAAATAAAAGGAGAAGTGAAACGCCTCGAGGAACAGAGGGAGAAATGTCCTCACGTTGTCGGCGGCAACAAACATTTTCCAACATTTGCCACGTTTTTGAAGTCACATTTCAGAACCTAAAGCTGGACTCGAACGAACAAAACATTGGATTATTAGAAATGTTTATTGTTGGCAGTAATCTGACATAAACACATGACTCTGAGTTTATAGTTACTATGCTGAACGGAAATACAGTTAGGATTCGGCCTTAGACCTGACAGACTGAGGCCTCTGGGGACTAGACCCTGGTGGAGGTCCTCTGGGGACTAGACCCTGGTGGAGGTCCTCTGGGGACTCGACCCTGGTGGAGGTCCTCTGGGGACTAGACCCTGGTGGAGGTCCTCTGGGGACTAGACCCTGGTGGAGGTCCTCTGGGGACTAGACCCCGGTGGAGGTCCTCTGGGGACTAGACCCTGGTGGAGGTCCTCTGGGGACTAGACCCTGGTGGAGGTCCTCTGGGGACTCGACCCTGGTGGAGGTCCTCTGGGGACTAGACCCTGGTGGAGGTCCTCTGGGGACTCGACCCTGGTGGAGGTCCTCTGGGGACTAGACCCTGGTGGAGGTCCTCTGGGGACTCGACCCTGGTGGAGGTCCTCTGGGGACTAGACCCTGGTGGTGGTCCTCTGGGGACTCGACCCTGGTGGAGGTCCTCTGGGGACTAGACCCTGGTGGTGGTCCTCTGGGGACTAGACCCTGGTGGTGGTCCTCTGGGGAGTAGACCCTGGTGGAGGTCCGCTGGGGACTAGACCCTGGTGGTGGTCCTCTGGGGACTAGACCCTGGTGGTGGTCCTCTGGGGACTAGACCCTGGTGGAGGTCCTCTGGGGACTAGACCCTGGTGGAGGTCCTCTGGGGACTAGACCCTGGTGGTGGTCGTCTGGGGACTAGACCCTGGTGGTGGTCCTCTGGGGACTCGACCCTGGTGGTGGTCCTCTGGGGACTAGACCCTGGTGGTGGTCCTCTGGGGACTAGACCCTGGTGGTGGTCCTCTGGGGACTCGACCCTGGTGGTGGTCCTCTGGGGACTCGACCCTGGTGGTGGCTGGAGGCGGAGGCTTTGATCCAGTGTGTTCCGTGTCTCGCTTAATGACTTGTTTATTGTCCAACACATCAATCACACACCGTCCCCTGCTTTTCAAACGGATCCTCTTGGTTCTGGACTGAGCTGAAGCGTGGGACGTATTTCCCAAAAGGAGAAGAGTCTTGGAGGAAGTCTGGACCAAAGCCACAGCCCTCAGCGGGTCACGAGGGGAGCTCTGGATAGAGCCGCTGTCCCTGGAACAATCTGACCTACATCTCTGATCGCTATAATTCACACTGGGAAAGCTAACGATGAATAGCTAATGGAAAAAAGCTAACGGTGAGTAGCTAATGGCCAATAGCTAACGGTGAGTAGCTAACGGCGAATAGCTTACAGCGTGCAACGTTATCATAAGAGAGGCTAAAAAAATATGTTTTATTCCCAAACTTCAAAGGATGCAGAGTGAAACAGGAATGTCTTACATTATTCTAGTTTAAATTGACAGAAACTAGAAAACTCCATCTTTAAAATGATGCATCACACAAGTGTGTAACGTGTAAGATGTGTTTTTATTTGCAGAAGCCAAAACGCAGCAGATTTTCAGAGGTTCAATAACATTAGATATTTGTGAACCCTTTTCAAACATTAATTGCATAAAAAACGACCATCTTTTGTCTTCCCTTCTCTCCTTTGTGGTTTCTGTGTCGAGCTCATTTCATTCCAAAGACACTCCCTGCTCCTCCCTGCTCCTCTCGTCTCCTCTCGTCTCCTCTCGTCTCCTCTCGTCTCCTCTCGTCTCCTCTCGGATCCTCTCGTCTCCTCTCGTCTCCTCTCGGATCCTCTCGTCTCCTCTCGGCTCCTCTCGTCTCCTCTCGTCTCCTCTCGTCTCCTCTCGTCTCCTCTCGGATCCTCTCGTCTCCTCTCGTCTCCTCTCGTCTCCTCTCGTCTCCTCTCGTCTCCTCTCGTCTCCTCTCGTCTCCTCTCGTCTCCTCTCGTCTCCTCTGGGACGTCTCTCGTCTCCTCTCGTCTCCTCTCGGCTCCTCTCGTCTCCTCTCGTCTCCTCTCGTCTCCTCTGGGACGTCTCTCGTCTCCTCTCGGCTCCTCTCGTCTCCTCTCGGCTCCTCTCGTCTCCTCTCGTCTCCTCTCGGCTCCTCTCGTCTCCTCTCGTCTCCACTCGTCTCCTCTCGTCTCCTCTCGTCTCCTCCCTGCTCCTCTCGTTTCCTCTCGGCTCCACTCGTCTCCTCTCGTCTCCTCTCGTCTCCACTCGTCTCCTCTCGTCTCCTCTCGTCTCCTCTCGTCTCCTCTCGTCTCCTCTCGGCTCCTCTCGTCTCCTCTCGTCTCCTCTCGGATCCTCTCGTCTCCTCTCGTCTCCTCTCGGATCCTCTCGTCTCCTCTCGGCTCCTCTCGTCTCCTCTCGGCTCCTCTCGTCTCCTCTCGTCTCCTCTCGTCTCCTCTGGGGACGTCTCTCGTCTCCTCTCGGCTCCTCTCGTCTCCTCTCGGCTCCTCTCGTCTCCTCTCGTCTCCTCTCGGCTCCTCTCGTCTCCTCTCGTCTCCACTCGTCTCCTCTCGTCTCCTCTCGTCTCCTCCCTGCTCCTCTCGTTTCCTCTCGGCTCCACTCGTCTCCTCTCGTCTCCTCTCGTCTCCACTCGTCTCCTCTCGTCTCCTCTCGTCTCCTCTCGTCTCCTCTCGTCTCCTCTCGGCTCCTCTCGTCTCCTCTCGTCTCCTCTCGGCTCCTCTCGTCTCCTCTCGGCTCCTCTCGTCTCCTCTCGGCTCCTCTCGGCTCCTCTCGGCTCCACTCGTCTCCTCTCGTCTCCTCTCGTCTCCTCTCGTCTCCTCTCGTCTCCTCTCGTCTCCTCTGGGCTCCTCTCGTCTCCTCTCGGCTCCTCTCGTCTCCTCTCGGCTCCTCTCGTCTCCTCTCGTCTCCTCTCGGCTCCTCTCGTCTCCTCTCATCTCCTCTCGGCTCCTCTCGTCTACTCTCGTCTCCTCTCGGCTCCTCTCGTCTCCTCTCGTCTCCTCTCGTCTCCTCTCGTCTCCTCTGGGACGTCTCTCGTCTCCTCTCGGCTCCACTTGTCTCCACTCGTCTCCTCTCGTCTCCTCTCGTCTCCTCTCGTCTCCTCTCGTCTCCTCTGGGACGTCTCTCGTCTCCTCTCGGCTCCACTCGTCTCCACTCGTCTCCTCTCGTCTCCTCTCGTCTCCTCTCGGCTCCTCTCGTCTCCTCTCGTCTCCTCTGGGCTCCTCTCGTCTCCTCTCGTCTCCTCTCGGCTCCTCTCGTCTCCTCTCGGCTCCTCTCGTCTCCTCTCGGCTCCTCTCGTCTCCTCTCGTCTCCTCTCATCTCCTCTCGGCTCCTCTCGTCTCCTCTCGGCTCCTCTCGTCTCCTCTCGTCTCCTCTCGTCTCCTCTCGGCTCCTCTCGTCTCCTCTCGTCTCCTCTCGTCTCCTCTCGTCTCCTCTCGGCTCCTCTCGTCTCCTCTCTCGTCTCCTCTCGTCTCCTCTCGGCTCCACTCGTCTCCTCTCGGCTCCTCTCGTCTCCTCTCGTCTCCTCTCGTCTCCTCTCGGCTCCTCTCGTCTCCTCTCGTCTCCACTCGTCTCCTCTCGGCTCCTCTCGTCTCCTCTCGTCTCCTCTCGTCTCCTCTCGTCTCCTCTCGTCTCCTCTCGTCTCCTCTCGTCTCCTCTCGTCTCCTCTCGGCTCCTCTCGTCTCCTCTCGGCTCCACTCGTCTCCTCTCGTCTCCTCTCGTCTCCTCTCGTCTCCTCTCGTCTCCTCTCGTCTCCTCTCGGCTCCTCTCGTCTCCTCTCGTCTCCTCTCGTCTCCTCTCGGCTCCACTCGTCTCCTCTCGGCTCCTCTCGTCTCCTCTCGTCTCCTCTCGTCTCCTCTCGTCTCCTCTCGTCTCCTCTCGTCTCCTCTCGTCTCCTCTCGGCTCCTCTCGCTCTCTCTCCTCTCGTCTCCTCTCGTCTCCTCTCGGCTCCACTCGTCTCCTCTCGGCTCCTCTCGTCTCCTCTCGTCTCCTCTCGTCTTCTCTCGTCTCCTCTCGTCTCCTCTCGGCTCCACTCGTCTCCTCTCGGCTCCTCTCGTCTCCTCTCGTCTCCTCTCGTCTCCTCTCGGCTCCTCTCGTCTCCTCTCGTCTCCACTCGTCTCCTCTCGGCTCCTCTCGTCTCCTCTCGGCTCCTCTCGTCTCCTCTCGTCTCCTCTCGTCTCCTCTCGGCTCCTCTCGTCTCCTCTCGTCTCCACTCGGCTCCTCTCGTCTCCTCTCGGCTCCTCTCGGCTCCTCTCGTCTCCTCTCGTCTCCTCTCGTCTCCTCTCGTCTCCTCTCGTCTCCTCTCGTCTCCTCTCGTCTCCTCTCGTCTCCTCTCGTCTCCTCTCGTCTCCTCTCGTCTCCTCTCGGCTCCTCTCGTCTCCTCTCGTCTCCTCTCGTCTCCTCTCGGCTCCTCTGGGGACTAGACCCTGGTGGAGGTCCTCTGGGGACTAGACCCTGGTGGTGGTCTTCTGGGGACTAGACCCTGGTGGTGGTCCTCTGGGGACTCGACCCTGGTGGTGGTCCTCTGGGGACTAGACCCTGGTGGTGGTCCTCTGGGGACTAGACCCTGGTGGTGGTCCTCTGGGGACTCGACCCTGGTGGTGGTCCTCTGGGGACTCGACCCTGGTGGTGGCTGGAGGCGGAGGCTTTGATCCAGTGTGTTCCGTGTCTCGCTTAATGACTTGTTTATTGTCCAACACATCAATCACACACCGTCCCCTGCTTTTCAAACGGATCCTCTTGGTTCTGGACTGAGCTGAAGCGTGGGACGTATTTCCCAAAAGGAGAAGAGTCTTGGAGGAAGTCTGGACCAAAGCCACAGCCCTCAGCGGGTCACGAGGGGAGCTCTGGATAGAGCCGCTGTCCCTGGAACAATCTGACCTACATCTCTGATCGCTATAATTCACACTGGGAAAGCTAACGATGAATAGCTAATGGAAAAAAGCTAACGGTGAGTAGCTAATGGCCAATAGCTAACGGTGAGTAGCTAACGGCGAATAGCTTACAGCGTGCAACGTTATCATAAGAGAGGCTAAAAAAATATGTTTTATTCCCAAACTTCAAAGGATGCAGAGTGAAACAGGAATGTCTTACATTATTCTAGTTTAAATTGACAGAAACTAGAAAACTCCATCTTTAAAATGATGCATCACACAAGTGTGTAACGTGTAAGATGTGTTTTTATTTGCAGAAGCCAAAACGCAGCAGATTTTCAGAGGTTCAATAACATTAGATATTTGTGAACCCTTTTCAAACATTAATTGCATAAAAAACGACCATCTTTTGTCTTCCCTTCTCTCCTTTGTGGTTTCTGTGTCGAGCTCATTTCATTCCAAAGACACTCCCTGCTCCTCCCTGCTCCTCTCGTCTCCTCTCGTCTCCTCTCGTCTCCTCTCGTCTCCTCTCGTCTCCTCTCGGATCCTCTCGTCTCCTCTCGTCTCCTCTCGGATCCTCTCGTCTCCTCTCGGCTCCTCTCGTCTCCTCTCGTCTCCTCTCGTCTCCTCTCGTCTCCTCTCGGATCCTCTCGTCTCCTCTCGTCTCCTCTCGTCTCCTCTCGTCTCCTCTCGTCTCCTCTCGTCTCCTCTCGTCTCCTCTCGTCTCCTCTCGTCTCCTCTCGTCTCCTCTCTGGGACGTCTCTCGTCTCCTCTCGTCTCCTCTCGGCTCCTCTCGTCTCCTCTCGTCTCCTCTCGTCTCCTCTGGGACGTCTCTCGTCTCCTCTCGGCTCCTCTCGTCTCCTCTCGGCTCCTCTCGTCTCCTCTCGTCTCCTCTCGGCTCCTCTCGTCTCCTCTCGTCTCCACTCGTCTCCTCTCGTCTCCTCTCGTCTCCTCCCTGCTCCTCTCGTTTCCTCTCGGCTCCACTCGTCTCCTCTCGTCTCCTCTCGTCTCCACTCGTCTCCTCTCGTCTCCTCTCGTCTCCTCTCGTCTCCTCTCGGCTCCTCTCGTCTCCTCTCGTCTCCTCTCGGATCCTCTCGTCTCCTCTCGTCTCCTCTCGGATCCTCTCGTCTCCTCTCGGCTCCTCTCGTCTCCTCTCGGCTCCTCTCGTCTCCTCTCGTCTCCTCTCGTCTCCTCTGGGACGTCTCTCGTCTCCTCTCGGCTCCTCTCGTCTCCTCTCGGCTCCTCTCGTCTCCTCTCGTCTCCTCTCGGCTCCTCTCGTCTCCTCTCGTCTCCACTCGTCTCCTCTCGTCTCCTCTCGTCTCCTCCCTGCTCCTCTCGTTTCCTCTCGGCTCCACTCGTCTCCTCTCGTCTCCTCTCGTCTCCACTCGTCTCCTCTCGTCTCCTCTCGTCTCCTCTCGTCTCCTCTCGTCTCCTCTCGGCTCCTCTCGTCTCCTCTCGTCTCCTCTCGGCTCCTCTCGTCTCCTCTCGGCTCCTCTCGTCTCCTCTCGGCTCCTCTCGGCTCCTCTCGGCTCCACTCGTCTCCTCTCGTCTCCTCTCGTCTCCTCTCGTCTCCTCTCGTCTCCTCTCGTCTCCTCTGGGCTCCTCTCGTCTCCTCTCGGCTCCTCTCGTCTCCTCTCGGCTCCTCTCGTCTCCTCTCGTCTCCTCTCGGCTCCTCTCGTCTCCTCTCATCTCCTCTCGGCTCCTCTCGTCTACTCTCGTCTCCTCTCGGCTCCTCTCGTCTCCTCTCGTCTCCTCTCGTCTCCTCTCGTCTCCTCTGGGACGTCTCTCGTCTCCTCTCGGCTCCACTTGTCTCCACTCGTCTCCTCTCGTCTCCTCTCGTCTCCTCTCGTCTCCTCTCGTCTCCTCTGGGACGTCTCTCGTCTCCTCTCGGCTCCACTCGTCTCCACTCGTCTCCTCTCGTCTCCTCTCGTCTCCTCTCGGCTCCTCTCGTCTCCTCTCGTCTCCTCTGGGCTCCTCTCGTCTCCTCTCGTCTCCTCTCGGCTCCTCTCGTCTCCTCTCGGCTCCTCTCGTCTCCTCTCGGCTCCTCTCGTCTCCTCTCGTCTCCTCTCATCTCCTCTCGGCTCCTCTCGTCTCCTCTCGGCTCCTCTCGTCTCCTCTCGTCTCCTCTCGTCTCCTCTCGGCTCCTCTCGTCTCCTCTCGTCTCCTCTCGTCTCCTCTCGTCTCCTCTCGGCTCCTCTCGTCTCCTCTCGTCGCTCCTCTCGTCTCCTCTCGTCTCCTCTCGTCTCCTCTCGTCTCCTCTCGGCTCCACTCGTCTCCTCTCGGCTCCTCTCGTCTCCTCTCGTCTCCTCTCGTCTCCTCTCGGCTCCTCCTCTCGTCTCCTCTCGTCTCCACTCGTCTCCTCTCGGCTCCTCTCGTCTCCTCTCGTCTCCTCTCGTCTCCTCTCGTCTCCTCTCGTCTCCTCTCGTCTCCTCTCGTCTCCTCTCGTCTCCTCTCGGCTCCTCTCGTCTCCTCTCGGCTCCACTCGTCTCCTCTCGTCTCCTCTCGTCTCCTCTCGTCTCCTCTCGTCTCCTCTCGTCTCCTCTCGGCTCCTCTCGTCTCCTCTCTCGTCTCCTCTCGTCTCCTCTCGGCTCCACTCGTCTCCTCTCGTCTCCTCTCGTCTCCTCTCGTCTCCTCTCGGCTCCTCTCGGCCCTCTCGTCTCCTCTCGTCTCCTCTCGGCTCCACTCGTCTCCTCTCGGCTCCTCTCGTCTCCTCTCGTCTCCTCTCGTCTCCCTCTCGGCTCCTCTCGTCTCCTCTCGGCTCCTCTCGTCTCCTCTCGTCTCCTCTGGGCTCCTCTCGTCTCCTCTCGTCTCCTCTCGGCTCCTCTCGTCTCCTCTCGGCTCCTCTCGTCTCCTCTCGGCTCCTCTCGTCTCCTCTCGTCTCCTCTCATCTCCTCTCGGCTCCTCTCGTCTCCTCTCGGCTCCTCTCGTCTCCTCTCGTCTCCTCTCGTCTCCTCTCGGCTCCTCTCGTCTCCTCTCGTCTCCTCTCGTCTCCTCTCGTCTCCTCTCGGCTCCTCTCGTCTCCTCTCGTCTCCTCTCGTCTCCTCTCGGCTCCACTCGTCTCCTCTCGGCTCCTCTCGTCTCTCCTCTCGTCTCCTCTCGTCTCCTCTCGGCTCCTCTCGTCTCCTCTCGTCTCCACTCGTCTCCTCTCGGCTCCTCTCGTCTCCTCTCGTCTCCTCTCGTCTCCTCTCGTCTCCTCTCGTCTCCTCTCGTCTCCTCTCGTCTCCTCTCGTCTCCTCTCGTCTCCTCTCGGCTCCTCTCGTCTCCTCTCGGCTCCACTCGTCTCCTCTCGTCTCCTCTCGTCTCCTCTCGTCTCCTCTCGTCTCCTCTCGTCTCCTCTCGGCTCCTCTCGTCTCCTCTCGTCTCCTCTCGTCTCCTCTCGGCTCCACTCGTCTCCTCTCGGCTCCTCTCGTCTCCTCTCGTCTCCTCTCGTCTCCTCTCGTCTCCTCTCGTCTCCTCTCGTCTCCTCTCGTCTCCTCTCGGCTCCTCTCGTCTCCTCTCGTCTCCTCTCGTCTCCTCTCGGCTCCACTCGTCTCCTCTCGGCTCCTCTCGTCTCCTCTCGTCTCTCTCTCTCTCGTCTCTCTCTCGTCTCCTCTCGTCTCCTCTCGGCTCCACTCGTCTCCTCTCGGCTCCTCTCGTCTCCTCTCGTCTCCTCTCGTCTCCTCTCGGCTCCTCTCGTCTCCTCTCGTCTCCACTCGTCTCCTCTCGGCTCCTCTCGTCTCCTCTCGGCTCCTCTCGTCTCCTCTCGTCTCCTCTCGTCTCCTCTCGGCTCCTCTCGTCTCCTCTCGTCTCCACTCGGCTCCTCTCGTCTCCTCTCGGCTCCTCTCGGCTCCTCTCGTCTCCTCTCGTCTCCTCTCGTCTCCTCTCGTCTCCTCTCGTCTCCTCTCGTCTCCTCCTCTCGTCTCCTCTCGTCTCCTCTCGTCTCCTCTCGTCTCCTCTCGTCTCCTCTCGGCTCCTCTCGTCTCCTCTCGTCTCCTCTCGTCTCCTCTCGGCTCTCTCTGGGGACTAGACCCTGGTGGAGGTCCTCTGGGGACTAGACCCTGGTGGTGGTCTTCTGGGGACTAGACCCTGGTGGTGGTCCTCTGGGGACTCGACCCTGGTGGTGGTCCTCTGGGGACTAGACCCTGGTGGTGGTCCTCTGGGGACTAGACCCTGGTGGTGGTCCTCTGGGGACTCGACCCTGGTGGTGGTCCTCTGGGGACTCGACCCTGGTGGTGGCTGGAGGCGGAGGCTTTGATCCAGTGTGTTCCGTGTCTCGCTTAATGACTTGTTTATTGTCCAACACATCAATCACACACCGTCCCCTGCTTTTCAAACGGATCCTCTTGGTTCTGGACTGAGCTGAAGCGTGGGACGTATTTCCCAAAAGGAGAAGAGTCTTGGAGGAAGTCTGGACCAAAGCCACAGCCCTCAGCGGGTCACGAGGGGAGCTCTGGATAGAGCCGCTGTCCCTGGAACAATCTGACCTACATCTCTGATCGCTATAATTCACACTGGGAAAGCTAACGATGAATAGCTAATGGAAAAAAGCTAACGGTGAGTAGCTAATGGCCAATAGCTAACGGTGAGTAGCTAACGGCGAATAGCTTACAGCGTGCAACGTTATCATAAGAGAGGCTAAAAAAATATGTTTTATTCCCAAACTTCAAAGGATGCAGAGTGAAACAGGAATGTCTTACATTATTCTAGTTTAAATTGACAGAAACTAGAAAACTCCATCTTTAAAATGATGCATCACACAAGTGTGTAACGTGTAAGATGTGTTTTTATTTGCAGAAGCCAAAACGCAGCAGATTTTCAGAGGTTCAATAACATTAGATATTTGTGAACCCTTTTCAAACATTAATTGCATAAAAAACGACCATCTTTTGTCTTCCCTTCTCTCCTTTGTGGTTTCTGTGTCGAGCTCATTTCATTCCAAAGACACTCCCTGCTCCTCCCTGCTCCTCTCGTCTCCTCTCGTCTCCTCTCGTCTCCTCTCGTCTCCTCTCGTCTCCTCTCGTCTCCTCTCGTCTCCTCTCGGATCCTCTCGTCTCCTCTCGTCTCCTCTCGGATCCTCTCGTCTCCTCTCGGCTCCTCTCGTCTCCTCTCGTCTCCTCTCGTCTCCTCTCGTCTCCTCTCGGATCCTCTCGTCTCCTCTCGTCTCCTCTCGTCTCCTCTCGTCTCCTCTCGTCTCCTCTCGTCTCCTCTCGTCTCCTCTCGTCTCCTCTCGTCTCCTCTCGTCTCCTCTGGGACGTCTCTCGTCTCCTCTCGTCTCCTCTCGGCTCCTCTCGTCTCCTCTCGTCTCCTCTCGTCTCCTCTGGGACGTCTCTCGTCTCCTCTCGGCTCCTCTCGTCTCCTCTCGGCTCCTCTCGTCTCCTCTCGTCTCCTCTCGGCTCCTCTCGTCTCCTCTCGTCTCCACTCGTCTCCTCTCGTCTCCTCTCGTCTCCTCCCTGCTCCTCTCGTTTCCTCTCGGCTCCACTCGTCTCCTCTCGTCTCCTCTCGTCTCCACTCGTCTCCTCTCGTCTCCTCTCGTCTCCTCTCGTCTCCTCTCGTCTCCTCTCGGCTCCTCTCGTCTCCTCTCGTCTCCTCTCGGATCCTCTCGTCTCCTCTCGTCTCCTCTCGGATCCTCTCGTCTCCTCTCGGCTCCTCTCGTCTCCTCTCGGCTCCTCTCGTCTCCTCTCGTCTCCTCTCGTCTCCTCTGGGACGTCTCTCGTCTCCTCTCGGCTCCTCTCGTCTCCTCTCGGCTCCTCTCGTCTCCTCTCGTCTCCTCTCGGCTCCTCTCGTCTCCTCTCGTCTCCACTCGTCTCCTCTCGTCTCTCTCTCGTCTCCTCCCTGCTCCTCTCGTTTCCTCTCGGCTCCACTCGTCTCCTCTCGTCTCCTCTCGTCTCCACTCGTCTCCTCTCGTCTCCTCTCGTCTCCTCTCGTCTCCTCTCGTCTCCTCTCGGCTCCTCTCGTCTCCTCTCGTCTCCTCTCGGCTCCTCTCGTCTCCTCTCGGCTCCTCTCGTCTCCTCTCGGCTCCTCTCGGCTCCTCTCGGCTCCACTCGTCTCCTCTCGTCTCCTCTCGTCTCCTCTCGTCTCCTCTCGTCTCCTCTCGTCTCCTCTGGGCTCCTCTCGTCTCCTCTCGGCTCCTCTCGTCTCCTCTCGGCTCCTCTCGTCTCCTCTCGTCTCCTCTCGGCTCCTCTCGTCTCCTCTCATCTCCTCTCGGCTCCTCTCGTCTACTCTCGTCTCCTCTCGGCTCCTCTCGTCTCCTCTCGTCTCCTCTCGTCTCCTCTCGTCTCCTCTGGGACGTCTCTCGTCTCCTCTCGGCTCCACTTGTCTCCACTCGTCTCCTCTCGTCTCCTCTCGTCTCCTCTCGTCTCCTCTCGTCTCCTCTGGGACGTCTCTCGTCTCCTCTCGGCTCCACTCGTCTCCACTCGTCTCCTCTCGTCTCCTCTCGTCTCCTCTCGGCTCCTCTCGTCTCCTCTCGTCTCCTCTGGGCTCCTCTCGTCTCCTCTCGTCTCCTCTCGGCTCCTCTCGTCTCCTCTCGGCTCCTCTCGTCTCCTCTCGGCTCCTCTCGTCTCCTCTCGTCTCCTCTCATCTCCTCTCGGCTCCTCTCGTCTCCTCTCGGCTCCTCTCGTCTCCTCTCGTCTCCTCTCGTCTCCTCTCGGCTCCTCTCGTCTCCTCTCGTCTCCTCTCGTCTCGTCTCGTCTCCTCTCGGCTCCTCTCGTCTCCTCTCGTCTCCTCTCGTCTCCTCTCGGCTCCACTCGTCTCCTCTCGGCTCCTCTCGTCTCCTCTCGTCTCCTCTCGTCTCCTCTCGGCTCCTCTCGTCTCCTCTCGTCTCCACTCGTCTCCTCTCGGCTCCTCTCGTCTCCTCTCGTCTCCTCTCGTCTCCTCTCGTCTCCTCTCGTCTCCTCTCGTCTCCTCTCGTCTCCTCTCGTCTCCTCTCGGCTCCTCTCGTCTCCTCTCGGCTCCACTCGTCTCCTCTCGTCTCCTCTCGTCTCCTCTCGTCTCCTCTCGTCTCCTCTCGTCTCCTCTCGGCTCCTCTCGTCTCCTCTCGTCTCCTCTCGTCTCCTCTCGGCTCCACTCGTCTCCTCTCGGCTCCTCTCGTCTCCTCTCGTCTCCTCTCGTCTCCTCTCGTCTCCTCTCGTCTCCTCTCGTCTCCTCTCGTCTCCTCTCGGCTCCTCTCGTCTCCTCTCGTCTCCTCTCGTCTCCTCTCGGCTCCACTCGTCTCCTCTCGGCTCCTCTCGTCTCCTCTCGTCTCCTCTCGTCTTCTCTCGTCTCCTCTCGTCTCCTCTCGGCTCCACTCGTCTCCTCTCGGCTCCTCTCGTCTCCTCTCGTCTCCTCTCGTCTCCTCTCGGCTCCTCTCGTCTCCTCTCGTCTCCACTCGTCTCCTCTCGGCTCCTCTCGTCTCCTCTCGGCTCCTCTCGTCTCCTCTCGTCTCCTCTCGTCTCCTCTCGGCTCCTCTCGTCTCCTCTCGTCTCCACTCGGCTCCTCTCGTCTCCTCTCGGCTCCTCTCGGCTCCTCTCGTCTCCTCTCGTCTCCTCTCGTCTCCTCTCGTCTCCTCTCGTCTCCTCTCGTCTCCTCTCGTCTCCTCTCGTCTCCTCTCGTCTCCTCTCGTCTCCTCTCGTCTCCTCTCGTCTCCTCTCGGCTCCTCTCGTCTCCTCTCGTCTCCTCTCGTCTCCTCTCGGCTCCTCTGGGGACTAGACCCTGGTGGAGGTCCTCTGGGGACTAGACCCTGGTGGTGGTCTTCTGGGGACTAGACCCTGGTGGTGGTCCTCTGGGGACTCGACCCTGGTGGTGGTCCTCTGGGGACTAGACCCTGGTGGTGGTCCTCTGGGGACTAGACCCTGGTGGTGGTCCTCTGGGGACTCGACCCTGGTGGTGGTCCTCTGGGGACTCGACCCTGGTGGTGGTCCTCTGGGGACTCGACCCTGGTGGTGGCTGGAGGCGGAGGCTTTGATCCAGTGTGTTCCGTGTCTCGCTTAATGACTTGTTTATTGTCCAACACATCAATCACACACCGTCCCCTGCTTTTCAAACGGATCCTCTTGGTTCTGGACTGAGCTGAAGCGTGGGACGTATTTCCCAAAAGGAGAAGAGTCTTGGAGGAAGTCTGGACCAAAGCCACAGCCCTCAGCGGGTCACGAGGGGAGCTCTGGATAGAGCCGCTGTCCCTGGAACAATCTGACCTACATCTCTGATCGCTATAATTCACACTGGGAAAGCTAACGATGAATAGCTAATGGAAAAAAGCTAACGGTGAGTAGCTAATGGCCAATAGCTAACGGTGAGTAGCTAACGGCGAATAGCTTACAGCGTGCAACGTTATCATAAGAGAGGCTAAAAAAATATGTTTTATTCCCAAACTTCAAAGGATGCAGAGTGAAACAGGAATGTCTTACATTATTCTAGTTTAAATTGACAGAAACTAGAAAACTCCATCTTTAAAATGATGCATCACACAAGTGTGTAACGTGTAAGATGTGTTTTTATTTGCAGAAGCCAAAACGCAGCAGATTTTCAGAGGTTCAATAACATTAGATATTTGTGAACCCTTTTCAAACATTAATTGCATAAAAAACGACCATCTTTTGTCTTCCCTTCTCTCCTTTGTGGTTTCTGTGTCGAGCTCATTTCATTCCAAAGACACTCCCTGCTCCTCCCTGCTCCTCTCGTCTCCTCTCGTCTCCTCTCGTCTCCTCTCGTCTCCTCTCGTCTCCTCTCGTCTCCTCTCGTCTCCTCTCGGATCCTCTCGTCTCCTCTCGTCTCCTCTCGGATCCTCTCGTCTCCTCTCGGCTCCTCTCGTCTCCTCTCGTCTCCTCTCGTCTCCTCTCGTCTCCTCTCGGATCCTCTCGTCTCCTCTCGTCTCCTCTCGTCTCCTCTCGTCTCCTCTCGTCTCCTCTCGTCTCCTCTCGTCTCCTCTCGTCTCCTCTCGTCTCCTCTCGTCTCCTCTGGGACGTCTCTCGTCTCCTCTCGTCTCCTCTCGGCTCCTCTCGTCTCCTCTCGTCTCCTCTCGTCTCCTCTGGGACGTCTCTCGTCTCCTCTCGGCTCCTCTCGTCTCCTCTCGGCTCCTCTCGTCTCCTCTCGTCTCCTCTCGGCTCCTCTCGTCTCCTCTCGTCTCCACTCGTCTCCTCTCGTCTCCTCTCGTCTCCTCCCTGCTCCTCTCGTTTCCTCTCGGCTCCACTCGTCTCCTCTCGTCTCCTCTCGTCTCCACTCGTCTCCTCTCGTCTCCTCTCGTCTCCTCTCGTCTCCTCTCGTCTCCTCTCGGCTCCTCTCGTCTCCTCTCGTCTCCTCTCGGATCCTCTCGTCTCCTCTCGTCTCCTCTCGGATCCTCTCGTCTCCTCTCGGCTCCTCTCGTCTCCTCTCGGCTCCTCTCGTCTCCTCTCGTCTCCTCTCGTCTCCTCTGGGACGTCTCTCGTCTCCTCTCGGCTCCTCTCGTCTCCTCTCGGCTCCTCTCGTCTCCTCTCGTCTCCTCTCGGCTCCTCTCGTCTCCTCTCGTCTCCACTCGTCTCCTCTCGTCTCCTCTCGTCTCCTCCCTGCTCCTCTCGTTTCCTCTCGGCTCCACTCGTCTCCTCTCGTCTCCTCTCGTCTCCACTCGTCTCCTCTCGTCTCCTCTCGTCTCCTCTCGTCTCCTCTCGTCTCCTCTCGGCTCCTCTCGTCTCCTCTCGTCTCCTCTCGGCTCCTCTCGTCTCCTCTCGGCTCCTCTCGTCTCCTCTCGGCTCCTCTCGGCTCCTCTCGGCTCCACTCGTCTCCTCTCGTCTCCTCTCGTCTCCTCTCGTCTCCTCTCGTCTCCTCTCGTCTCCTCTGGGCTCCTCTCGTCTCCTCTCGGCTCCTCTCGTCTCCTCTCGGCTCCTCTCGTCTCCTCTCGTCTCCTCTCGGCTCCTCTCGTCTCCTCTCATCTCCTCTCGGCTCCTCTCGTCTACTCTCGTCTCCTCTCGGCTCCTCTCGTCTCCTCTCGTCTCCTCTCGTCTCCTCTCGTCTCCTCTGGGACGTCTCTCGTCTCCTCTCGGCTCCACTTGTCTCCACTCGTCTCCTCTCGTCTCCTCTCGTCTCCTCTCGTCTCCTCTCGTCTCCTCTGGGACGTCTCTCGTCTCCTCTCGGCTCCACTCGTCTCCACTCGTCTCCTCTCGTCTCCTCTCGTCTCCTCTCGGCTCCTCTCGTCTCCTCTCGTCTCCTCTGGGCTCCTCTCGTCTCCTCTCGTCTCCTCTCGGCTCCTCTCGTCTCCTCTCGGCTCCTCTCGTCTCCTCTCGGCTCCTCTCGTCTCCTCTCGTCTCCTCTCATCTCCTCTCGGCCTCCTCTCGTCTCCTCTCGGCTCCTCTCGTCTCCTCTCGTCTCCTCTCGTCTCCTCTCGTCTCCTCTCGTCTCCTCTCGTCTCCTCTCGTCTCCTCTCGTCTCCTCTCGGCTCCTCTCGTCTCCTCTCGTCTCCTCTCGTCTCCTCTCGTCTCGTCTCCTCTCGTCCTCTCGTCTCCTCTCGTCTCCTCTCGTCTCCTCTCGTCTCCTCTCGTCTCCTCTCGTCTCCTCTCGTCTCCTCTCGGCTCCTCTCGTCTCCTCTCGTCTCCACTCGTCTCCTCTCGTCTCCTCTCGTCTCCTCTCGTCTCCTCTCGTCTCCTCTCGTCTCCTCTCGTCTCTCTCGTCTCTCTCGTCTCTCGTCCTCTCGTCTCCTCTCGTCTCCTCGTCTCCTCTCGTCTCCTCTCGTCTCCTCTCGTCTCCTCTCGTCTCCTCTCGTCTCCTCTCGTCTCCTCTCGTCTCTCTCGTCTCCTCTCGTCTCCTCTCGTCTCCTCTCGTCTCTCTCTCTCTTCGGCTCCTCTCGTCTCCTCTCGTCTCCTCTCGTCTCCTCTCGTCTCCTCTCGTCTCCTCTCGTCTCCTCTCGTCTCCTCTCGTCTCCTCTCGTCTCCTCTCGTCTCCTCTCGTCTCCTCTCGTCTCCTCTCGTCTCCTCTCGTCTCCTCTCGTCTCCTCTCGTCTCCTCTCGTCTCCTCTCGTCTCCTCTCGTCTCCTCTCGTCTCCTCTCGGGCTCCTCTCGTCTCCTCTCGTCTCCTCTCGTCTCCTCTCGTCTCCTCTCGTCTCCTCTCGGCTCCTCTCGGCTCCTCTCGTCTCCTCTCGGCTCCTCTCGGTCTCCTCTCGTCTCCTCTCGTCTCCTCTCGTCTCCTCTCGTCTCCTCTCGGCTCCTCTCGTCCTCCTCCTCTCGTCTCCTCTCGTCTCCTCTCGTCTCCTCTCGTCTCCTCTCGTCTCCTCTCGTCTCCTCTCGTCTCCTCTCGTCTCCTCTCGTCTCCTCTCGTCTCCTCTCGTCGTCGTGGTGCTAGTCGTGGTGCCACTTTATATATATATAAAGTGGGTTGGACTAGTCCGGTGTCATCGTCCCATAGACTGTTTATTGTTGGACTTTAGTTCAATGAAGCCTCAAAAGGAACTGCTTCAATTCACTCTTGACTTGACAAGTAAATTCCTCGATGGAGTGATACAGAACTGGTCCAGTGCGGCTCAGACGAAAACCACCAGTTTCTCCTTAAATTCTGATTGTACCATCGGTCAAAGTCTCCAGTACTTTAGAGTCCACTTTACCTGAGAGGCTGAGAAGTGTGACCCATGGTACTGGGAGCAGACCCTCTGGTCCCACTTCTGGAAGAGAGGGACCATCACCACAGTCAATGTTGGACCAAAGGGAAAATTGGTAAGTGTGGAATTCAACATCACCACATCCTACGACAGAAGATACTCAGGTCGGATCCACTCTATTCTACCCTGGTTGTACCGCACCATAGTACAGATTTCATTTCATACTAAGGTCTGGATCTGCTCCATTGACTCCGTGAACAGGTGGGAGGGGCTAACTCCTTTTACAGATTGAAACCATTGGATCTGAGTTTACTGTGACGTATGTAATGAGCCCGAGTGAGTGAGGCATTTAGCCTAGCTTTAGCATGTAGCCTCAATTTAGCATGTAGCCTAGCTTTAGCATGTAGCCTAGCTTTAGCATGTAGCCTAGCTTTAGCATCTCCTTTGTCACTAACGGAGCCCGTGGGGAGTAGAGCCACAACATCTTTGCTTCAATGACTTTTACTAAACATTCCTCTTGCTCCGGCTTCAGTTTCTTGATATTTGGATTGAACCAGAACAGATTATTTTACTATCACAGTCTCCATGGTCCAGAGTTTACACATGGTAAGACCAGAGTTTACATATGGTTAGACCAGAGTTTACACATGGTAAGACCAGACGTACATGTAGGAAATGATCATGGACCAGAGTTTACACATGGTAAGACCAGAGTTTACACATGGTAAGACCAGAGTTTACACATGGTAAGACCAGAGTTTACACATGGTAAGGCCAGAGTAACGCCTCTTTCCATTAAGAAACCCACCACAGTCGCTCAGATCTTCAGTCTCCGCCTCCAAAATAAAAGACTGAGATTTAAACCATTCAAAGCATTCTTTCCTTCGTCCGCACTGTCCCGGTCGAGGTCGGCCGCTTTATGAAAGGATTTGGAAAAACACTGCGTCCTTTTCCAGAGGCTCCGAACGTTTTGCCAGAATCTCTTTTAGGCCGAAAGTTCTGCACCGTGACCTCCGCTAGCCGCTGCCAGCCCAGATGTTCTGCTGCAACTGTGGTACCATGGTCGGTCCACACTCATTCAGCAGTGGTACCATGGCCTGTCCACACTCATTCAACAGTGGTACCATGGTCGGTCCACACTCATTCAGCAGTGGTACCATGGCCGGTCCACACTCATTCAACAGTGGTACCATGGTTGGTCCACACTCATTCAGCAGTGGTACCATGGTCGGTCCACACTCATTCAGCAGTGGTACCATAGTCGGTCCACACTCATTCAGCAGTGGTACCATGGCCGGTCCACACTCATTCAGCAGTGGTACCATGGTCGGTCCACACTCATTCAGCAGTGGTACCATGGTCGGTCCACACTCATTCAGCAGTGGTACCATGGTCGGTCCACACTCATTCAGCAGTGGTACCATGGTCGGTCCACACTCATTCAGCAGTGGTACCATGGTCGGTCCACACTCATTCAGCAGTGGTACCATGGCCGGTCCACACTCATTCAGCAGTGGTACCATGGCCTGTCCACACTCATTCAGCAGTGGTACCATGGCCGGTCCACACTCATTCAGCAGTGGTACCGGTCCACACTCAGCTCATTCAGCAGTGGTACCATGGCCTGTCCACACTCATTCAGCAGTGGTACCATGGCCGGTCCACACTCATTCAGCAGTGGTACCGGTCCACACTCAGCTCATTCAGCAGTGGTACCATGGCCGGTCCATACTCGTGGTACCATGGCCGGTCCACACTCATTCAGCAGTGGTACCATGGCCTGTCCACACTCATTCAGCAGTGGTACCATGGCCGGTCCACACTCATTCAGCAGTGGTACCATGGCCTGTCGACACTCATTCAGCAGTGGTACCGGTCCACACTCATTCAGCAGTGGTACCATGGCCGGTCCACACTCATTCAGCAGTGGTACCGGTCCACACTCAGCTCATTCAGCAGTGGTACCATGGCCGGTCCATACTCGTGGTACCATGGCCGGTCCACACTCATTCAGCAGTGGTACCATGGCCTGTCCACACTCATTCAGCAGTGGTACCGGTCCCCACTCATTCAGCAGTGGTACCATGGTCGGTCCACACCCATTCAGTCCCACAGCTAAAGTTGTTTTATGCATTTATAAGAGATCAAAAACATGAAAAGATGTGGTAGTATTCTGGATATGAAGATTCTGGAAGTTTTTCAGTTTGTTTGTTGTGACAGATTTCTATGGACTGAAAGGATCACAGTTTGGACAGAGACCGGGAAATCTTTCATCTTTCATTGTGACGACAAACTTAATATCACAAAAGAGTTCGACCAGAACCTTTACACATTTACCATATTTCTTACAGTATGTACAGAATTCATCCTGTCTAAACTTACAGTCAGTGTTATTATTATTATTATTATTGACAAGAAATTCAAAAGAAGTTTTAGACTTTTGAATACAATTTATTTTAGTTTCAGTCCAAATTTTGTTGACTATAATAAGTATTGTTTATTTATATAACTCCTTTCACAGACAAAGTCACAAAGCACTCTTTCAGTCCACAAAGATATGGGAGCGAGGCCGTCTACAGGGGGCGCTGCCGGACCTATTGTACATGATTTTAGTGGTAGGGGAAACTGGAGCACCTGGAGGAAACTGGAGCATAAATATACAGTGGTTGTTGCTCATTGTATAAAAAGGAACATTTTTGTGCATTTACGTGCAGTATTATCACAAGCGTGATAAAAGTAGCTTCATTACTTTACTTGACTGTTTACTGTTGTTCGAATCACAATGTTACAACTACAATAGAGCAATCTTGCTTTTTATCATAGTATTATGTGCCGCAATAAAATGAAATGAAGTCTAAGCAAATAAATTTACTTTTGAGTGTTTCTGACCAGTGTGGGCGGGTCCCAGCTCAAAAGTGTCCAAAATGACGTGCGCTGACATGCTGCAGTACCACCCCGGGCCTGTGGGGGTGGACCCAGAATAAGAATTAGCCAATGCTAACATATAGCATTAGCAGACCTCTGGAAAACGTCTTTACAGGATGGTCCAGTGGCTCTTGGCCCAAAGCTCCGTTCAAC